ATCTGGTCACGTTTTCCCTAAAGGCGATTTTTGACAATTCATGTGATGTAGCAGCAACCCCGAAAATATTATAGGAACATCCAGTCAACAATTGAGTCCAACGTCCAGAGAATAGTGAGTTTAATTGGGTTTTTTGGAGCTTTATCACAACAGCAATTTATCAAAGTGCCATCTATAATATTAATTTCACTCCGCGTCGAGGGTTTTCCCTTTCATTGATCAATAAAATGCTCTGATTTGTGATATATGTAAGTCGTCTTAGTCACTACGTCTGAAAGCCACGAACAGTATAGCTGAAAAGCTAGGAGAAATTACGCCAACTGTTTTTTCCCTAATCGTACTTTACAACGGAGAACCTTCTATCGGTACAGCAGCAACTTCAACGACGCAAGAGTCACAAGTTTTTGATTTCAGAATTATTTAAAAACCGCCTAATTAAAAGCTACTCTTTTGGAGACGCAACCTTTAAGCTATATTTCAAGGCTGAAACTATATTGATAAAAGCAATAGAAAAAATTTCCACATCAAGGATTAAGCTTGGCGTCTCATCATTGGTTTAAATACTGCGTTACACAGCTATGTTAGCTTAAGTACGCCTTTTCGGCTTCCTCACGGTAAATTCGTTTAGCGTAGATTTGCAAAATATCAAAAATATTTAACGCAATGAAACACCAGCCAAGTGACACACAAACGCAAAACATCAGCTATTAAACTTCTTTTTTCGTCGATTATTTCTGCCCGAAGGGCAAAACAATGATTGCAATAGAGGCAGTGAGCGACCCAAGTCCAGCGATGAGAAATGACCGACCTGACTTTCGCTACTGAAGCGCAGCGCTTTTCTATTATCTGTTACTGAAGCTCAGCGATAACCACAACAACTCCTTCAGGGCAGAAAGAGAAACAGAGGAAGAGAAAATAGGTAATCTAATGAAAGAATGGTGTCTCCAACTTCTCACTTACCAAGTATTTGCTGATCGATTGTGATAAATTACCCAGTAACCTCTTCGGTGCAATACCAAGCTAGTAAGGAGCGTATCAAATTCGTACAGATGACGGTTGCTTAATTTACAGCAGAGGCATTTTTCAAGGTATCTGTGGATGTTTGGAAGGTCACACTTCGATTTTTAATGTGGCGCACATGACAGAGTCGGCCCCACAACATTCTAACAACAAAAATCATATCCAAACAAACTATGTCGAGAAGGCTAGCGCAAATATTTCAGTAATCTGGATGGTGTCAGACTGTCTCGACTTAGAAGCAGGCACACAGTTCTCTTTGAGCACATACTCCAGCGAGCCCCCGCCTGCAGCTGATGATTCTCCTTTATTAGCACTTTGATGGGAGCAGACTCTTCGTTAGCTTCTTCACGTCGTCTACTAATAACATAAAAATGCTGTCGACAATCTTCTTAAAGAATGGACCGGAAGTACGAGGGTGGCATGTTGGCAATGACGGTTTTCTAACTGCTATCTTTTGAGACTTGTCGAGCGCTCGCAATAATAAGTCGTGAGAGACGCCATCATCACCACTTATGGCTGCGAAAGCACGAGCTGGCAAGGCGTTGGTGTGACGTCGAGATGCTGTACGCCCCGCAGCTATGGAATGTGGGAGGCGTGCAGCATAGAAGCTGAAGAATGAGGGAGTCTATGGTAGCTGTTGTCCTGTCAGCTAACTTGACGTGCCTTGCTCTTAACTAATTGATGTCGCGAATGTGAACCTTACGGACAATGACAGTATGATATCAGTCGATTTTAGAACAGAATTGTGGATGACTAGCTGGCGAAAATCTGCTTACGACTTTACTCTAAGTAATCTGTACTGATCATTTGCTCATTACGCTTGTGCTTTGCACTGGTCTTTACTTTATCGCATCTGCAAGAGTAAAGCTATACAGTCGAAAGAATTTGTTATTGTACTATAAACTAAGCAGACTTTACTGATGAAGAGCAACGTGAAAGTACAACATAAACGAGTCATGTCCCTGAGAAAGCTTTTTAGTTCATAGTCGAAAATTGTAAATACGTTCAATTTATGGAAGAAAATCCGTACTCCTGGTTTGCGTAAAATGATCGAGCAGATGTTATGGTATCATTATCGGGTGAGAACTATATTTGAGTTCGACCCGACAAACCTGACAAGGTAGAAGCTCAAGCGAAAGGTGCTCAGGAGGTAGGTTGTCGAAACAGTGATGATTTTTAACGTGATGGGTTTGAGGCTGTTGTACAAAATCGCATCACGCTACAGGGGACAAACAAGAGTTTCAAATTAAGAATGAATCATTACCGATACTCAAAGCAAAATGTTCGAGTTATAATAGCATATGGCTAGGTACAAGTGGTATCTTTAACAGATGTCAGACCGTTGACAAGGTGTATAGCTATGCGCTATCGTCTTCGGCAGACACACCCTAGGTCCGTCTTGCAGACATCATACGACTTCGCCGTCTCTATAGAGATTATACGTCCCATCGAGACCAATGGGGACACGCAATCGGCGTCGTCCAGTGTCCCCATCCCCTGCTCCATCGGAGCCTTGATGTTTAATAACAACATTCGATGAGAAGTTGCCACTTCCACAATCTTCGCCCAGTGGTTAACGTGCCACTTCACGCACATCAGAAGGGCCTTGCCCACGCTACCTCAGATTTCGTCCAACCATGCCACTCTTGACATGTAGCAACTGCTTCGAAGCGTGATCAGGGATCAGTGGGTTACGTGCCACTCCACATTCTACCTGCTGGCCATGCTCGGGACTCTCGTCCGATATACCTTCGGGCTCCGACAACTTGAATACTCCAATATCCAGCACATTGACCGTTTCGGTCCAGTGTCCGCACCAATTGCGCTTCCGCTTCCTATTTCATGACGAACCAAAGCTTCACCAGGAGACGTGCGTGGAGTACCCAAAGTCTCCCACCTCGAACCGATCCATGTCTCATGGGGTCCCAACGATCCCATGCCAAGAATAAGACCATACCTTTAGCCCAAGTCCAAAACTAAGCAGCATTCCACGCCATTAAAGTAAAGAAGCTTGACACCGAGGTCCACAAGGACCTCGGCACATTGACACAAGCCCCCTTCGCTAAGCGAAAAGTGACGGTGTCACTCAATCGCTCTATCCGCTCATCAACACACAGCCAGCCTCCTTCGTTTAAGAAGCGTCAATCATATTTGCGCGACACCCCTGAGCTGATCAGGATCGTTCATGGCTTCACAAAGCATTTCACGGTCACTTTTACGACCAACAAGC